CTCTCTCTCTCTCTCTCTCTCTCTCTCTCTCTCTCTCTCTCTCTCTCTCTCTCTCTCTCTCCTCTCTCTCTCTCGTTTCCTTTCTAAAATAGTAATTTATGATCATTTTATCCTTACAAAATTTAACGTATTTATTTATCAAATAAATTGAAAATAACACAGAAAAGTAGCGTAATTCATTGTTACAAATCTGTTTGTTGTTTATTAATAACTTTAATGCTAATCCTAAATTTAATGGGAAAAATGATATGATGTGTTCATTGGATAGTATACTATGTAAGTACTTGAGTAGCAACTTATCTGTTGTCCTTTTATTCGAAACTTTACACCGCAAAACGCTTCCCCCTACTTATTTCTCATTTGAATGGAAGGGATCAGTTCGGGCAGAATGTACTACGGTCCGATTCGATGCGTCCGCGTCTCGTCACAAAGCGGCTAGTCTCGGTCTCGGGTACAAAATAGTACCACGGTCGAAGCGCGTGCATGTCACTTGCACCAGTCATCCACAAGAAAGGTATGGGGAACAAGTGTTGAGGAAACATGGCGGCGCATTGGAACGTGCTAGAGTGATGCAGTGTACGCGTAACGAGACACGCTCGAGTTCGACTGACCAAAGAGGCCTCGTTCGCTAAATATCTACCCGGCCAAATGACATGGGAATTTGTAATCGAAGACACTTCCTGCTGACAATATGTGTCTTACAACTTGTAAGTTCACCGAACAAAAAAATCATTTTCGATCCCTTTGTGTGTTGTATCGTCATTATTATCATCCTGATTGTGATACGCGATTCACAAGCGTACACTTTCTTGCTACGGTAATTAAATGAATATTAGTTTTTCCAACCTAATTCTACGGTCCGCTTTCCACTTTCGTTTCACGAGTATGTTTTATACATTGAACGGCGGTACCATCGTTTCGTCGAAACGGTGAATCAGTTTCGAACAGTTTTATCGACAATACATTGCGACCCGATGAAACGCTATACACTTGTTAGATTATCGTATCGTTTTATCGATCCGTGGGTCGTCTGGTTTATCTCTGCTTTGGGAAGATCTGTGTAGAAACTAGACGAACCATTTATAAACGCTGCTTTTCCTACTTTCTATTACTTTCTTGTGCTCGATACGAAAGTTTACCATTTTACATTAACTGGACGATTTTGTTTTAATAAATGATAAAGAATATCTGTTTTCTAATAATAAAAGTCTCTTACATAATGATTGCGTGGAACAGCTTTTTTTTTGCTAAGAGTAATAAAATGTACTCCATAAAACTGGTTCATGCATTGACTCTGCGACTCTGAGTAATTAATTCAGTATTTAGAGCAGAAGACAATTGGAACAGATTATGGACACGTTTAATGAGTTTGCTGAAATTGAAGGAGTGATGTTTAGATGTTAATTTGTTTACACCGACTTTATGGCATTCTCTTATTAGATGCAATTTAAAGTATCGTTTTCTTTTCTTTCCCATACTTTTTTAGATTACTACTGTGGAGCGCCAAGTTTTCGACTTTTTAGGCTTTATGTGGGCCCCGATACTGGTTAACTTCTTCAATATTATATTTGTCATCTTAGGATTTTTTGGGGCCTTTCAATATAGACCTAAATATATTATATCAGTAAGTAAAAGAAATTCTCTTTATTAATATAATGATGTTGTTCAGATATGTGTATAGTATTATTAAAATATGACTGATTTCTTTCAGTACTGTATATGGAACACTGTATGGTTAGGATGGAATATTTTCATGATATGCTTTTATCTCAACGTGGGTGTACTGGACAAAGTAAGTTTCGATCTTTTGTGTGTTTCATTTTGTAATTACTGCCTTAAAGAGTGCAACAATCGGTCCTAATTTGAAATACTTTTCAGAATAGCGATATTTTAAATCTTGGAACAGGTAGTTTTTCATGGTGGCATGTAAATGGACCAGGTTGCAAACCAATTTTTGATGTCACAGAGCCTGAACTGTTTAGACCTGCAAGGCCTACAAATGTAACAGACTGTGTACTAGATTATGAAGTAGTTGAAATTTTACACGCGTCTACGCAATGTATCTTAGGTGTACGTATAATGTTTTTCCTATATATTTTTCAATAAAATTCTGTTAAATTCCTGTTTAACGCAATATTCACATATTTCAGTTTATCGCGGTCGTGGGTGGTATTTGCCTAAGTAAAGTTTTCATGGAAGAAGATGATAGCTGTAAGTATCAAGTTGAAAAATATTTATGTTGATCATTTCTATCATCGAAACACTATAAGATGTAGTTTGTTGCATAAAATCATTCAGAGTTTTCTTTTGGGGTATCATCTGGTGGTAAGTTTAAGTATAATTAGCAATGGTATCGGTAAACGAGAACTGCATAAAGAAATAAGTCATGAGGATTACAAAACGTGTATCACTTCTATATAGTACAATACGTGACGATAAATATTTTTATTTCTAAATAACATGTTGGGATTTATTATTGCTTGAAAAGAGGGTTGTCGGTTACAGTTGATTTCATTGGTGGATTTGATCCTCCATTTTGGTAAGTGCTTTGCCTGATTCATTGTATGCACGCATTTTTTATCTGCCCCTTTCAGCACGTGTAAAATTATTGTTTCTCGAAATTGTCCAGTATTTTATATCATCACCGAGAATGTCACTGTATTGCGTGATAATATTTTGCATCTTCAGTAGCGTAAACTTTGTATCTATTCTGTTCAATTAATTCCATGAAATTATGTACTCGAATAGCATGAATCGTTTAACGAGAATTGTTTTTACTTTTTTTTTCTTACAACACTTGTTCGAATGCTCTGGGAGATTATTAAATATTATAATAAGTAAAAAACTGAAGGAAAGAATCGTCTGAACGACAAACACAACAAATTTGATCTAATGCAATGGATTCTGCGTCATATTTCAGTTGACTTTGTGGGAGGTGATGACTTCGGGTTGGCAGGCCACACACCGTTACATCCTATGTACGTTAGCTACTCGGCTCTTCCATCACCTGCCCACCCTCAAAAAAATTCCAATCAAAATTACCCAGAAGGCACAGTTAGCTCTCATCAATCGGTTGGTCACGATACCAGCTTCCCAAAGCAAAACGACAAATTCTTAAACAACTCGGTGCGAAGTAAAAATAGTTTTCGAAACGACACGATCAGAACCACCAGAAGCAACGTGTCTAATCGCGATTTGAAGTACGTGGATTATTCTAACGACTACTCAAACCCCTTAGATCATTTGCAAAGACCCGTGTCTCCGTGCGACGAGTACGACTCTTTGGACAGTGCGGCTAAATTGAGATATCAGAGAAACAAAATGTATTATCCGCATTCATCGAAATACAGTCCCGTTGCATCACCGCGTGTAAAGTCTCGCCCTGCCACAGCGAAACAATCTAAAGTCTCCAACAAGCCTAGAGTTTTCACGGATCACGTCCGTGAGCAACCTCTACGATCGTTTTACTCGGATCCTAGATTGGCGATCGAGAATCAACAGAACGCGAACGAACAAGAAAGTTCGAGCAGGTCTCACAATCACAGAGACAGTAGACCGCTGTCGTTGTACGCCAGTAACTTTTAAAACAGTTAGAATTAAGCATGACGTTTCCCTCGGTTCTTCTTCTAGGGATTCGCATCGAATTATTCCCTAGTTTTAAAATGCGTGCTGCCGAAGTTCTGTGAAGTACTCTCACATTGTTCCGCGGAAAATTGTCAGAGCGCAACACGTAATTCCTATACTTGCCAAATAGATAGAACGATTAGAGTAGCTAATTTAGGGTGCCTTCTCCAATCTACGATCTTCATTAGCGTAAACGTAATTCTATCATTCTTTGTAACATCACGCTAACACGTGTTTGCCACGTTTTCTTTTTTTCTCTTTTTTAAGTATTTTAACTGATGGCCCGATCAGATCCTGTGTTCAGTAGCTCCGTTTGTTTTCGTGCTCATATTAATATCTCCTTCCCCCACATTTTTTTTCTTTTGTCGGAGATTTATTTACAATTTCAGTTTCGCGGATGAATCGACCGCGAAGCATACGTATAGTCATGTTCGATGAAGCAACATGAATTTATACGGATACGCGCACTGTGATAACGTATAGGAATATGAATCATGTTCGAGGATATTCGAGATTTTATCAGTTGTACGATTTTAAACTTGTACTTATTGTTAACAAGCAATTTCGTTTTTATACATTAGATTGACGACGTGTTACATCGTGGAAGTAACTGCTTGAATATGAAATTTGATCGTAAATGTTCCGCGAATGCTGTAGGATCGTTCGAAGCTTCGTATAAGGATATTCTTTGTGACTGGCTTGAAAAAGTGACACTCGATGGAATCGTAGGCTGCATTTAGCGAGCTTGCATCGTGACACGATGAACTAGTTTCGTTTGTTCAGTGCTGCGGACGATTTTGATTTTAAGAATGTGTCTGAGTAGTGCATGCTAGTTCCCTTTTTACAGTTTTAAGTTCAATAAAATGTTTATTCTAGGTTCTTTTTTTCGAGCAACGATTACAGTATACCGATTACATATAAGTATACGCTTAATATATTAAATAAAGAACGCGTGCAATTGGATATTGTAAGATACAAAACGAATTTTCTAGATTTTACATTTACCGTAACTT